TCAGTGACAACAGTCAATGCAGGATTCGTTCTGGATGTAACACTTTCTGAAGCTCCTTGTAAAGCTAGGATTGATTTGCAAAATCACTGGAGAAATCAGATCTCAGAGAAGGCACATAGGAAGGTTTGATAAAATACCTTAACCTGAGGATGGCTGGTGATTTCCTCTCCGTTTATTGTGTAGTATGTTTCACTATAATTTGAGGCTAGGAACTCCCTGGAAAAGAGGACAGAGAAATGCTGAGATTTGCTCATTTTTGACAGTGAGTGGATAAAACCAATTATGTGAGCGAGAAGCTTCCAGACTGCTTCCGAACCTCAGAAACTCCTCTTACAGGAAAAGTGAGAAGCAAAACTAACCCACTCCCGTGGAACAACTTTCTACCTGGATTTCATGGGTTGGTAAAAAATGTAAAAGAAAAAGAAAAATATTCTAGCAGCTTTAGCAAAGTGGCACCTTGAGAAGAACGTGAAGAAAATATTATCTTGGTAAAAATCGCTTGCCTTAGGAGTCAAAATTAATGCAAAAAATCTCATTAGAGACTATAAAGTCACAGGAGAGGACAATATGTCAGCAGTATTTGCTAAAACTCTGTCAACACATAATTTTATATCCACAAAAAATGACCTTTTAGAATGAAGAGAAAATAAAGACCTTTTCAGGAAAAACAAAACTTTCTAGTTTATTTTTATAGGCGTTTAGGTAACACAGCTATGTGCATTTGTCAAAACTCAATGAATGTATACTCAGGTTTGTGCATTTCATTATAAAAAATTTTAACATCAAAAGAAAAACCGACCAACCCTAATGATATATTTGTTTTTTAGAGGGATTTTATTGAAGTTTATATGCAATATAATTTAAAATGCATAAAAACACTGATGGGTGAATGGATGGGTAAATATATAAAGGAATTATGATATGAACAAGCATAATAAAATGTTAATGAATATTTGTGTATATGTCTATCTTGATGGGATTATGGATATCTGTATATATTAATGGGTATATAAATGTTCACTATAAAATTCTTTCAATTTTGCTCCATGTGCAAACAGAACTTGCTTTGATATCTATTTTAAATAAAGTTCCCTTAAGAACCATGGTTCTCAAATTTCCTTTGTTCCACTGATTCACAAAGTATTTGTGGGAGTATTCTCAGTGTGTGTAGAGCTCAAAGCACTCCAGTACCCCCAATAGGGAGTAAATTAGAAACTAGAGAATAGTGTCTATAATTGTTAGGCTGTTGAAATGATGTGGGCTTACATTTGAAGGGTAGGAATTCAGCTTATGTACAGATGAAAATGACTTCAATTCACTTCACTGGAAGTTTTTACAAAAACGGTAATACTATAGACCAATAAATCTATGTTATTAAAATCATAATAGAACTTACCTTGATCTTAAAAGGTGAAGTATGAAGGTTTTTTTACTTAGACTTATTTCATATATAAATTCGTTGTCATAAGTTTCCTGAAAAACAATATCCATAAGGTGAACTAGATATGTGCTCCTTCAGGGTGGGCTGAGGGTGGGCAATGGGCTGGGTAGTCTACCCAGAGTTGAGCTCTCCTTTCAGGCAAAATGGTAAATATGGATAAAACTGAATTTATAAGGAAGCTAATATATGCAGGCTTTTGCTTTCCAGTTATTTTTAAATAAATGTTTGGTGCTTATTTCTAGTTAAAAAGAAGGGAAAATGAAAAAATTCATATTGCTCCTATATCCAGAGATATATGTTATTATATGTCCTTGCTGTGTCACTCCCCCAATGAATCTTCTGCTTATGTATTTTTACCAGTTTTGTGTACACTGGTCTTGTAGCTTACTTTTTTTACATAAAAGTAAGTTATGGCCATGACCACTTTTCTATTCCAATAAGTATTCTTTTATAGTATGTATTTTACTGCTGAAAAGCATAATGTGAACTTATTTAATTTACACTTAGATCAGAAATTTGATTTGGCCTATTCACTCTAGGTAGACAGAATTTCACTGTCAACAACATGGAAAAAGTGTAAAGTTTTTGGTAAATAATTCCAGATAAACCTGAGGAATGGAAGTACAAATTTAGAATTTCACCAAAAATTTATAGTGGTTCTTGTTTCCTTGCCTTACAATATTAACATCAATAAAATTGTTCAAATAATGAAATAACTTTTTGTCATAAATTGTTGTCTTTAATGACAATTAGAATTGATATTTCCTTTTGTTTAGTTATTTGTATATTTGTATATGAATTTCTAATTTATGCCCTCTTACCATTTTTTTCTGGCATCTTATTTATTTATGAATGGTAAGAATTCTTTATAATTTAGGGATTCACAGTTATTGGACATATATCTTACACATTTCTTCAATTTATTGTTCATACATTTATTCAATTGATGTTATTTCAGTCACAGTGATCATATGGAAAATACAATGATGCACACGTTAGTGGTCACTGCTCTCATGAAAACCATAGTGTGGCAAAAAAAAGAAAATCAAGCAAATGTAATTGAGTATTATAAGCATCTTAAGAGGAGAAACACAGTGACTGTGTAGGAGGGTATTGAAAGGAAGTGTCAGGGACAAGGAAGAACACATGCAGAGAAGTCCAATGTTTTTGGAAAGTCAAGTTGAGTAGAAACGGAAATGAAAAGTAGGAAGGAGCCAAATCATGTACAGCTTAGTGCGCCATTTAAAAGAATTTAGACGGTATCTTAAGAGCAAAGAGAAGCAAACATTTTTGGCAGAATAATGCAGTAGGTGTGATATTTTAGATGTCTTAATTATTGAGGGTAATGAGTCAGCAGAAATCATGACTGTAGGCAGGAGAAACATGTAAAGGCTGTGTCTGTGATACTGGTGGTTTGGGCAGGGAAGTGGCAGCAATAATAAGAAACAGTAGATAATTTTGAAAGATATTTACATGATAGAATCTACAAGGCTAGGTGATTGTTTGATGGGGGAGGCTGAAGAGAGGAGTCAAGAACTACCTCTGGTTTCTGGATTGTGCCTCTACTAAGAGGAGGGTCTTCTGAAGAGAGGCAACTTTGAGGAGGGAGAGGGGAGTTTTGTGTTTGTTAAAGATGAGGTGTGCAAGTGTAACATAAAATTAGGATTTTATTATAAAGACACAGTATTCATAGTTGGCAGGCAAGAAACAGATTCTCAATTAAATGAGAGTTGAATCCCATTTTACAACAAGATGACCTTTATGTGTAGATATGTAGGTGTGTGTCTATGCCTGTGTGCATAACAGGATGGTATATCAGGACTTTTTGAAATGTGAATGAATATAAATTTTTATATTAGCTAATATTGAGGAACAATTTTTACATGTCAGAGGTGATAAAGTTATTTTTAACTGTGTCATTAATTGTTTTAATGAACAGGATTAAATAACCTTTATTTTTTATTTTAGAATTTTATTTAAGTTTTAAATTTAGTTTTATTTTAGATTTAGAGAAAAGTTGGATGGACAATATAGAGAATTCTCATGTAACTCCACAACTTACGTTTTCCTTCATGTTATTATGGTGTATTTGTCACTACTGATGAATCAAAATTGATATTATAATTAACATTTACACGTAGCCACATTTCCTTCATTTTTGTCCACTGTCCTTTTATGGCCATAAGATCTCACCCAGTACACCACATTACATTTTATTGTCATGTCTCCTTAGGCTCCTCTAGACAATAACAGTTTCTCAGGCTTTCCCTATTTTGGATGACTTTGACAGTTTTGAAGAGTACTGGTCAGGTATTTTGTAGGCTGCCTCTCAATTTAGGTTTTTATGAGTTTTTTCAAATGCTTAGACTGGGTTTATGGAGATTTGGGAGAAAAACAAACAAACTGCCATTTCCATCACATCATAACCAGAGTATATACTATCAACATGACATCCCTGGTGATGCTAACACTGGTACCTGGCTCAGGTAACATTTGAGAGCTTTTTTCACTGTAAAGTGATATTGTCCCTCTTCCCTAGTCCACTCTTTGAAAGGAAGTCACTAGGCACAGCCCAGGCTTAAAGGGTAAGGAGTTATGCCCCACCTCCTGGGGAGGAGAATATCTACACCAATATTTTTATTTTTCTGTACGGGGTGTCTATTCTCAAATTTATCGACTTATTAAATCACTTATTTATATCAATATGGTGTCATAGACATTTATTTTATGTTACGGTCCAAAATTATGTCATTTATTGTTGTGCTCAATTTATTGTTTCTTCCTTGGCCATTGGGAGCGATTTCAATTGGCTCCCATGTTCTCTTAATATCTCTCCTCATTGTGGGTAGAGGTTGTCTGTTTGAGAACTTCCTTACTTCCTGGTACAAGGTGCTCCAAACTCATCTTGTGTATTTCCTGCCTCAGTTCAAGCTCATCTTGTGTATTCATTGTGGACTTTTAATGTCAGTATTGATTAAGTCTTAACAGATGCCAGAAGAGCCCACCGGCTTTTACACAATGGGTGGTAGAAAGCTGGTTTTGCCCTCTTAGCTGGGTACCAACAATCCACCAGTTAAGAGAAGGTGAGAAAAGACAGTTCAAGACAAATCTATTTGTAAGGAGATTATCAGAAGAAAATGTTTAGAGTAGACATTGTTTCCAAAGGGCAACAAACAGTTGCTTTTTCATCACCTCAAGCCATCACTACAGAGGCCTCAATAGTACCATGGGGAACATTACAATGTGCCTTAATTATGACTGACAGACCTAATAAGTGAAGCCTGGGGGGCTGGCTCTTCTAATGGCGGAGGGAAGAGAAGGCGCTGCCCTGCGAAAGGTTTGCCCTCTCAGGAAGTGTTAGGTCACAGTGACAGTAAAAACCCAAGGCTCAAAATGCAGTTGCCTGGGAATAAAAATACAAGGGCCAACACTGAATGTCTTTTACAATAGTGGGGATTGAAAATAACCTCATTTTAAAGTTTGCGCCCATGATGTGTACTATACATTTTCTACATAAGTAAACATTTATTACTTTTAAAAATAAAGTTGTAACTTTTTAATTTTAACACCCAAATAAACACCCTTCTAACCAATGGGCCAAATAGGCCTTTCTGATGCTGTGGAAGTTGTCCATCTCTGCTGCAGAACCTGTCAGCCGAGTAAGCCTGCATATCAGATCCCTGTTCACGGGGAGCCAGCCCAGAACAAGTGAGTTGCCTTACATCAGTCTGAAAGCGGGTGGTGGAGCTCCTCACACAAACTGAGAAATGTTGATGGAGCCCCCTAACATCTGAGCTTGACTCCTAATCTGTCAAGGGCCTCTTTCCTCTTATCCTCCACTTCCCACCCACGCAGGCACAGGCCATAAACTGACTGGGAGTCCTGAGAAGAGTTGAGACTTCTCTCTTCTCATGATTGCTTCTAATGGGAAACAGAGGTTGCTTTCCACACGCCTGTGAAAGCAATGCATTTTATGGATTACTTTGAAATCTATACCTGTAGGTCATAATCATGAGTGTGCCAAACATCTCGCTTCTCTATCACAGGCAGCCTTTTAGGATAAACCAGTTCTTGACCCTCTACTCCATGGACGGCCTTTTCTAAAAGGAAGCGTAAAGGGAAAATACATGCGGCATTAACATGCACCCACGGTGACTGGATAACAGAATTACTCTCACAGAGTTCACTTGCTCCCAATTAGCAGCCATGTACAACATCACTATAAAATAGCACCCTTACTTTACAAGGAAGGGCATTGAGACAGATGTTCCCAAAGTAGAAAAATGTAAGTAAAATTGGAAAGGAGGCAAAGAAATCAGGGTGCTTCAGCTTCTTCTTTTAACCTTGTTCTATGTTGTCACTTTTGTCATCTTATTCTTCTCATGCCTGTCTCTCGATTCTGCCACCTGACAAAGCCTGCCCTAGAATGGACTGTTTCCATGCAAATCATTGTTTGTATCTCCCAGGGACAGTTGCATTTGAAGTCTTAATTCAAGAAGCGAAATAGAAGGCCTCCCTGGTTAAAGGATTGTAGATACTCTTGAATCGGTGTTACACAGAATCTACACATTTCCTGTCACATTGGTAGTCGCCACACCAAAGAGCCATGTGGAGGAAAGACACGGGACGTTGGAATCTGCTCTTTTATTTGAATCAAAGTTTTACCAGCTTGTGAGCAGCACACCTAATCTCTCTGATTTCCTTATCTGCAAGTGGAGATCACAGTATAAACACTTAAGCATGCTAATATACAAAGTGGCTCATGGCTAGTACAGTGTCTGCCGCATTACAAATATTCAGTTCACCCCTGCCTCCTTGCCCCTGTAACTCAGGGTATTTAAGAGCGACATGGCATTTCATAGAATCATAGAATCTCAAGATTAGCTCTAATCTAGTTCAAATCCTATGCTGTGTTCCCAGCAAAATCAACAAAGGATATTGTTTTTATCGCTTGCATTTAAATGTTGTGATTAAAAAGACATCACCTCATTGCACAATAAGAAAACCCTGATGAAAGGATTAAGACGTACCTTTAAACTGAGAAGTGAATAAAATCATGAAAATTAAACTCCCGGAAAGCATTCTGAATGATTCTGGTTGAAGAGGGATGCATGTGCTTGAGAAAAAATGTGCACAGTTCCTTGTCCTTGCTCCCACAGCAAGGATGAAGGGTCTAACAGGTAGTTAGACAGTTTTGATCCAGTTCAAGGAAGTGTTCCTTGACCCACGTTACACAATTTGTAAGGTGCTTGAGGCTAAAACCTGGAGGGTGGACAGCATGTACTAATTAAAGGCAACCACTGTGCTGGTGGTGCAGGTGGGCTGGGCAGAGATCCCGACTTCACGCCCACTGTAAATGATTCCTAGTGCACTAAAAATTCAAAAAAAAGAAAAATCATGTATGCCTCAGGAAAAAAATGGTTGAAGAATGTTATATAAACTTTGGTCAAAGAAGGTCTTTCTATTCAAAATGCCACATGCAGAAACTTTAAAGGAAAATTTGATATAACAAAATAGATAGAAATATTGGGAACTGTCTAGCTAAATAATGGCCTTTAGTATGCTGTATGAAACACAAGTTAGTAATCTTTATTTTGCTTCCACTCTGATAAAAGAACCCAGGGAGTCATTGGGGGCAAAAGGGGGAAATAAAGGAAAATAACTTTACATATTTTTTAAAATATGTTTTTATTGATTTTTAGAGAGAGAGGGAGAGGGGGAGAAAGAGAAATATCAGTTGGTTGTTACTGCATGCCCTTTACTGGGGATCAAGCCCACCGCTTGGGCATATGTCCTGACTGGGAGTTGAACAAGCAACCTTTTGGTGCATGGGACAACACTCACCCAATTGAGATACATTTGCCAGGACTATCTTTTTTCTTCTTCCATTTTTATTGAGATGTAACTGATATACAACTCTGTTTAGGATGTACAACATAATGATTTAACTTACAGATATTGTGCAATGATTACTACAATAAGTTTAGTTAACATCCATCATCTCTTACAGATAAAAAAAAAAACAACAAATTTTTGTGTTAAGAACTCTTAGGATCTATTCTCTTAACAACTTTCCTATATATTACAGAGGAGTGTTCACTATAGTCACCATGCTATCCTTATCTGTAAGTGGAGATTAAACTCCTAGTACTTACTTATCTTATCACTGTACCTTTTGACCACCTTCATCTACACTTACTTATGAAAACTCATTTATGCTATAAATTTCAAATTAATTTAAATTAAAAGACAAACAAAAACTCTATAAATGCATGCACCACCTATCTATATAAAAGGTTAATATGCAAAGTGTCCCCTCGGGAGTTCAACCAGGAGACCAGGAGTTCGATTGCTTGCTAAGACATGAGCTGACCACCAGGGGGTGACGTGAAATGAAGGGAGGCCCCAGCTGACAGCTGGAAGGCCCCTATTGGCCCTGGTCGCTGGCCAGGCCTAGGGACCCTACCTGGGAATGAATTTCAAACACCAGGCCTCTAATATATAATAGAAGTTGAGGGTAAATGTCCCTATAATATAGAACTTCTTCAAATCAATGCAAAAAAGAACACATTAATAGGTAAATGTGTAAAGGACCTGTGAAAACTTACCTATATGTCTGTGTTCTCTTATTATATTCGAAGAGCTATCCCTTTGCCAATACATCCTTTATCTGTGTGTGTGATTCTATCCCCAACATTGTTTCACATTATTGATTATCCCTACAGTAGTCCCCCAAAACATAACCAGTCTATGACAATTGAAAACTTTCTTTTGATAAGCTTAAATAAGCTCAAGTCTTCCCCCTTACAAAATATCCTACCGTCAATCCTATATTCTACAAGCACCTACCATTATGTTTTTTTAATTCCCTTTTCAGCTAAACTTCTCACAGAGTTTATATAATTTTTAGTAATTTTCTTATCTACAGTTCATCCTAACCCATTAACTCAGGCATTTGCCTTTATGATTCTACCAATATAGCTGCCTGTCTCCAAGGAATTCACAATTGCTACCTCCAATGGATATTTTGGTTCCTCATCTTACTTGCCCTCTCAGCAATATTTGGCACTATTGACCAAACCATTTCCTTTGAAATATTATATTTAACTTCCTAGACAAAAAACAAAACAACAAAAATGAAGCCTGAAACAGACTTCTATATCAAAGGGGCTCTGTGAGTCCAAATGTCAGACAAAAGCAGATCTTTTTAAAAATTTAAAATTTTACATTTTTTGGAATTTATTTGAGTGACATTGGTTAATAAATCATTTAGGTTTCAGGTGTACAATTCTGTAACACATCAGCAGTATATTGTATTTTGTGTTCATCACCGCAGACCTTAAAGATTACACGAGTACGGGGGTGTTTTGCTTCCTTCTTATTTCTCTGCTGCAAATCAATGAAGCAACCTCTCATAAGATGCTAATCTACTCGCATCTTTGTTTCCATGATGAGTTTGAGGTTGTAGAGTCTCAAATTCATTACTTATTGCCACCTGGATCAGTTTTTTACATAATAGTCAACTGGGGGTGTTTTTCTTGGAGGCCTCTCAGCAGGCTTGCCTGCTGACCCCTTTTGATCTACCTCACAATCCAGATACCCCTAGGGCGTGCCCTCCTGAGCTCTTTCCTCTCCCTTTTTTCCCCTCAATTCTGCTCCCTCTCTTTGTCTAGCACAGGGGTTCTCAACCTGTGGGTCACGACCCCTTTGGGGGTCGAATGACCCTTTCACAGGGGTCACCTAAGACCATTGGAAAACATATATAATTACATATTGTTTTTGTGATTAATCACTATGCTTTAACTATGTTCAATTTGTAACAATGAAAATACATCCTGCATATCAGATATTTACATTACGATTCATAACAAAAGCAAAATTACACTTATGACGTAGCAACGAAAATATTTTTATGGTTGGGGGTCACCACGACATGAGGAACTGTATTAAAGGGTGGCCGCACTGGGAAGGTTGAGAACCACTGGTCTAGCGCAACTTGGCAAGGAACCCCACAACGGTGGTGAAAGCATAGAAAGGATGACAGATGACAGAGATTATCTAAATCAGAATAAGAAGCAGCCCACTCTGCAGACCCAAAATGCTTATTCTTGTACCACCTTTGTAAAGAGAAACATGAAGAAAAGGGGAGATAAATTCAAGCACATAAAGAGGATGAACAATAATATCTTATTCAAACTATAATAGTAATGGCAAAAGCTTCACATAGAAACAAAAAATTAGCATTTTTCTGTCTGATTTTAAAAGAAACATCATTATAAAGTACTCCAAAGCCATATTAATCAACGAGAACTTGTAATTCTCTTTGCTGAAGCCAATTTCAACCCATGAATTGTGCTGTAAATGCATTGAAAAGAACATTCAATTCAGAGTCAGGAGCTCTCTGTTCTCCTGTGATTAATTCTGCCTCCTCTGGCAAATTACTTATTTTCTGGGTCTCCGAGTCTTATTTATAAGTTGGGACTGTAAACTATTTGATCTTCGAGGATCAATAAACTATTTTAACACCAGGATGCTATGTTTCCTTGCTTTTACTGATTTCTCCCCCTTTTCTAAGACCTTCCTCATTGATTAGGAGCTTTTACCCCCATCATACTTTTCATTTCTAACCACGGATTTGTCCATTAATATGCATAGTAAATGTCATGCAATAAATACATGTGTCATAAAAGATCAACTCACTCTGCCACCCAAATGGACAAAGTTATTTCTGGGGAATGGCAGACCCAGAGTAAATAGAGTATAAAGAAATTTCACCTCTTAATTCTGATAATCCTATGACTTAGCTAGTGACATTGAACAAATTACTTAATATTCCTAGAATTTTCATTTCATCATGGGAAACTAGAAATAATAGTACTTTGTACAGAGGATCCCTGTGCAGGTTAAGTGTGATAATGAAAAATTCATT